ATGATATTTTGTGATAAGATGCACATATAGGCCCATATTGTCACAAACTTGATAGGGTTAGCATCTGCACTTTTTATTGCATTGATAGGAGTCCTAATTCGCCTGTCTTGCTAGTTTTTTTATCTCAACTTTCCTAATTATGAAATTCCCCCATCACAATTCAAAGAAGAAACATGAAGATCATTTTTTCACTCTTTTTTCTAAATAAAACTCAACCACAGTTTCAAAGTTTCTTAATCTTCGTGCTAAAGAAGGCTATAAATCAAGCCCTGGATGCGTATAAAACCCCCAAAAAATTCAAAGATCATCCATCCTATAAACACTTTCTGCGCTACAGTTCAAAGATAACCAAACAAGAACAGGCACAAACGGAATGAAACAATATATACCAGCGCTGCAAGAGGTAGGGGGGTCTTTCTGCAGATCCTTGAGCTCCTTCAAGATTCGTTTGGAAGCCATGGCTCAAAGCAGCCTGATAACCGGAGAAATCCGCCCCGATCTGATCGATTATTGAGAAACGAAAAAACGTAGATCAAGAATTCTTTCGGGTAGAGATGCAACAATTGCGTGTGTGTATGTATATATACAGAAGGACAAATGAATCGGTGGTATACAGAAATATAAGATGCGTGAAGAATGAGAGGTTGGAGATTGAAAGGGACTAGGGGAGATTCACCGTTTTGCTGTTTTCTTCTCTCCTCTCCTCTCCTCTCCTCTGGAGGATGATGAGGTTGCGCTGGCTCCAACTCGCCCCGACTTTGATTGACTTATAGAGAAAAAAATGAGCTTTTTATCTACCGGTTCAAATTTGAAGACTTGATTCTCCCAATTCACTTTATTTTCTTTCCCTTTCACCCTCTAACACATTTTCATTAACAATTTATGAAAAAAATTATCTTTCCCTTTCACTCTCTAACACATTTTCATTAAAAGTTTATGAAAATATTTATATCAATACTATTTTGAGACTCTCTTTTGCATATATATTTTGAAAAAAAAATATAAGTATAAATACTTTTTGCGGGCTAACATTTCAAGAAATCATTAGATTTTACATCGTCACATCAGGTTGGTTGAGTTCATTTTAGACTTAATTATATTGAATTATGTTGGTAGTATTTGTGTGAATTTTCACGTGATTTATTATTATAATAAGTAAATGTATTTTATAAATGATCATTAGTAATAGATGATTTTTCATATGGGTTAGGGACCAAACTAGGAGTAAAACATATCTCATATCATCAAAATATGAGTAATTAACTTCATTAATCTAAGAGTTAAAGAGCAAAATAAAAGCTGATGGTGTAAATTACCACGCAAATATTAAGTGTGAGTAATCGGAAGGATTGTAGGTGGAATCACCTGTAACCCGATTTGTTATTAATGATAATAGGAGTTATTACAAATACAAGCCGTGTAGGTTAATTAAAACATGCCTCACTAATGAGGCTTTTAAGGATATTTATAATAATCCTAAGCACGTCAAGCACGTCTCTGATTATCCAACCGGTCAGGCGGCTGACCGGCCCACCAGGTGCACTTTGAAAGTAAATCTTCGGGTATTGGCATCTGGTCTCCTCATCCAACCGGTCAAATAACCCGGGCTGAAAAGACGCGTGCTGTTCGGTGAACCAACCGGGTGGTATCCTTGGGTTATTACCCATCAAAAGCAAAACATTAATAATATACCAAGTTAGGAGTAGAAACAAATATCAAAAATAGAAATTATATTATACACAGTAACATTTACAAATTTAAAAATGACTCTAATGTTGTTCAAATGCGCCATACAACTGTCGGTGATGGTACCACCCCAACAGGCGCCTACGATGAGAGGTATTCCACCAAGAAGAGGGGTCAAAATCCACTCTCTCCCTGCCCAATTCTCTCTCTCTAGAATATTCTTGTATTTTATTTCTTCAAGAGCTTCTAGCTCCATCATTAATGGCTTCTAAGCCTAAATAATGTACTGTGTACAACCCCCGATATCAATAAAAATTCCCTGTTGGCAAGGTACCGCGAAAAAGGCCCGTGGTTTTCTCTCGATTTGGGTTTCCACGTCAAAATTCCTCTGTTTATATTTTGATGTATTTTTTAGACTAGTTTATCGTTTTTTCCCGGCTAAAAACGATATACCTGTCCATAATTTACACCATCAGCACTTAAATTATTTTTTTGTAAATAACACTTAATAATATCTATAATGTCCAGTGATGGCAAACATTCACTTGAATAATGACTAATGAATAATGACTAAAAGTGTTATTTTGAAAAAAAACATATGTAATGGTATTTAAAAAAAGTTATTATGTTTTACTGCTATTTAAGTAAAATTCTCCAAATAAATATAGAGTACTACGATGTGGGCCAAATGGAATGTGGGGTTGCAGAGATAATCTATGAATCCAATTGTGAATACATCTTGTTGTATTTTAGCTGGGTAAATTATTGTGCTGTAAAATAAACGAGGTAAGGCTGAAAATTGTATCACCAGAAATATTTAAATTTTTCAGAAATCTTGAAATCTTGTTGGTGAAGTTTTAAATTTGGAAATTAGTTGAGAAATGTTAAAGTCGCTAATAAAAATTGCAAAATTTACAAATTTATTATTTGTGAACTCACTAATATACCAAAATTTCTGGATGTCGCAGTTCAAGGGGTTGAGAGAAATGTCAAAAGGATGAACCCGGCTTGACTCATAACGATAGTGGTAAAGAATGATCATGATCTGTATGAGGTTCTTATGCGTACCAGGGACAAATTTTACTTTTATCAATCATACTGATATTATAGTTTTTTTTACATCTGCTTAAAAATAAAGGGGAATTTATGTAAATAACACTAAAACATAATGACTTTTCCAAAATAGCATCAAATTTGTTTTTTCTCAATGTAGCACTTGTAGGTATTATGCATTAGTTATTATTCAAGTAAATGTTCGCTGTCACTGGACATTATGAACATTATTAAGTGTTATTTAAGGAATAAAACAGTTTTAGTGATATTTAGAGAAATGACTTAAGTTTTAGTGCTATTTAGTGCAAATATTTCAAAAATAAAATAGTTTTAATTATGGAAAAATTCACACAAAGAATTCCAAATTTATTTGATAATTTTCAAATTTTTTTGCACGCTAATGCTCTCGTTAATCATCTGATTTTAAATCGCTACTCCAGCCCGGTAGAGTAAGTTACATGCTGAATTATGTGAAATGAATTTGGCTGACAAGACATTTGATATAATGAATTGGTAACATTACTGATGTAATTAATCAGAAGGCATTTTGAGTTTTTTTATAACTTAATAAAAGAACCTTAATTAAAATGAGTGATATTGTTTATCTGTTGTCTTAGCATAATAACTTAAGTTTATAATCTCTCAATTGGGTCATTTTTTATTTTTTTGGGTCGAACTAGACATAATCCAAACTTCCACCACATAAACTTTGCATTACATATTAATATTAGGAAACAAATTTCTTAACATTTTTCTTAAAAATAAACCTACAAAATGCACTTTTGTAATATACATGGAGAGTAATCATAGGACAAAAATAGCATTTCTTTTGTGCCAAAGTAATGATCTCACTTTGCACAATGTGTAAAATTCTACTCCCTCCGTCCCTAAATAAATTACAACTTTTTTTTCTCTCCTCTCGATAACTTTTGTTTGTTTACGCGATTTCATTGAGTATTTGATAAAATAAAATATTCTTGTCACCTCTTGTTTTGTAGAACTTTTGACTTAGTTTTTTAATATGTAATTTTTATATCTTATTGATATACCAATTTGTAAATAAAATAATTTCAAAAAGTATGATATTTTACTCCGTAACCCGCAATTTGTAATCAAATTGGGGACCGAGAGAGTATTTATTTTCAAATTATTCTATTTATGAATTGATATTGAAATAAAAAGGTATAAATTACATATTTTGAAATTAAGTAATATTCTATAAAAAATTAAAAAATAAATAAATGAAAATATACTCCCTCTGTCCACCATAGATCTTTCCAGACACTATTTACAGGGTCAAACTTTACTCACTTTATTTGCTCATTTTTACTAGTCATTTCGTAAAATAATATAGTCTTGTCACCTCTAGTTTTGTAGAACTTTTCATGTAGTTTATTATTATATAACTTTTATTTTAAAATTTTACTTCTATAATCAATTAGATTGAATTCAAAATAAAGTCGGTCAAGCCTCGTAACGCGTAGTGGGAATATCTTAGGTGGACGGAGGGAGTATTATATTTTATCAAATAATAAATAAAAATATAAAAGGTTAAGAAGTACGTCAACTGATTACAAAAGGAAAAACGTGCCCTAAGATGGTATAATCTAAATGTACACCACCTTATTAGATCATTAGCAATGGCAACACAAAAATGAAATGACATACGGTGACATGAACTATTTCAACTAATAAAAAATAACTCAGTCACCATCTGACAAATGAGTGGAGTGTCGTAACATACAATGACAAGTCACTGTTTTTGTCTATTTCTGTACTTTTTAATGATTTTTAATTATCAAAAATTATTTTACACATTTATTTTATTATTAAAATATGTCTACTTCTTTTACTAAATATTTTTTTTCAAAAATTAAAAATGTTAAAAATATTTAAAAAAATAAAAAATAAGAGAGTCATGCCTTGTACATAGAATGAAAAGTAAAATGGAATGACCATAGAATGCCATCATTATATAGAGTATAGACACAAGACACTCACTATGCGTGTGAAAGACGTACACCACTTTGGGGGCAAATTATACCCGGTTGTACCCAATTTTGGGTGCAACCAAGAAATTATTTATCGTATGAATTTTATTTTACATGAGAATGAATACTATATTATTTAAGAATGAGTATTGTTTTATTTGAGAATGAATACTAAATTATTTATGGTAGAAGGTTCCACCATATAACTCTCCGGGGTACAGTCACAAATCCCATATATAGATCCTGACTTCCATTTTTTGAAATTACTAGCTGCACTCTTAGTGCAGTGAAGTCAGGCATCAGCACGCCTGAGGTGATCGGCGGGATTACAGGCGCTGTTCATTCCGGTTGCCGCCGACATTAATATCGCCGGCGAGAGGAGTCTCCTCCTTTATCCGCTAGACCGACCACTTTCATTCTCTTTGGTTGATATATACGGAGTATTTATTAAAGGTGGTTGAAACTTCAACCCAATCATACCGCGCCCCACTCCGGAATTCTCTCCCTCCACTTCTCGCTTGCTTCCACGCACAGTCGCACGACCTGTACATAACTCCCTCCATCGCACTCTGTTGATTGAGACGCTTTCGTGCTGGATTCGCTCTCCGACGATTTCCGCGGTTCGTGATCTTCTTATGATCTCCTTCTCTGATCTTCGATTCATATGCATCTGTATGTGTTCTTCAATCTGTGTGATAAGGATTTGTTTTGGATTTCAACCGGCAACTCGGTTTTTCCCCTGATCCGGCGGGTTTCGTGATTTTGGGATTGATTCTCTGAGCTTTTCATTCATCATTCACAGACGTTAATTTCAACAAGTGATTCTTTGTTTTTTGTTTATGAAATTCAGTGAATTCCGTGAGTGAAACTCGCAATTCATTGGATTTATTAGATTTTCCAGTTTCTCCTGTTCAATGGATTTCATTCTGTAAATTGGGACAATTGTTTTTTGTCATTTTGCAAACCTCTTTGTGCTGTCCGGGTGGACCCGAGTCCAGGCGATGCGTGCACCTTTCCATACATTGCATATTTGAATTAGGAGTATCTTTCAATATGGCAAAAAAAAGTTTACCATCTCCTTTTACATTAAAAGCTAAGCAGGTTTTGACCGCATCTTCATTCACGAAACAATGATTCCTTGTTCACTTATTCTCACTCTGTCATCCACAAGGATTGAATAGTTCCTGGCTTATTTTTAGGGGACTTGATTCATAGTTAGAATGTTGGTGGAGACGGAGAAGATGTTCAATTCAGAGGAAGTTATTGAGGAATTCGAGGCGCTGACCCGGGATGCAGGGAGAGTTCAAGAGGAGACTCTGAGGAGGATTTTGGTAGAGAACGGTGAGACGGAGTATCTGCTGAAATGGGGTCTCGGCGGAAGGACGGACCCTGAGAGTTTCAAAGCCTGTATCCCTATTGCCTTGCACGAGGATTTGGAGCCTTATATTCAGAGGATTGCAGATGGTGATGACTCTCCTATTCTCACTAGCAAACCCATTACCACCATCTCACTCAGGTATCTTTCTTTATTTTATCTAGTTGAATAAAAAAATTCATATTACTCCCCAGTCCCCACACCGTAAACAGAGTTCTTTGGTGAACTTATTTTTTGCTTAAAAAAAGAAAGAAAGATAGTCCAATATGAACAAAAGAATCTAGCTTATATCATATTTAATTTAAAAAGTAGTAAACAAGTTGGATATGTTAAATTTAGTAAAGCCAACAAGTAGATGTAATAATATACTCTGTATATGATGGTTTTCAGTAGCTTTACCTTCCTAAAATCAAAACATTTGCCTTTGTGAAACAGGGCCTTATAATGGGACTGAGAAATTATTTTTAGATGGTATTCTTAATTTGGTTTTTGTGTCTGTTTCAGTTCCGGAACAACTCAGGGGAAGCCAAAGTTTGTGCCTTTCAGTGACGAATTAATGAATTCCACCATGCAGATATACAAGACATCTTTTGCTTATAGGAACCGGTATTCTAAGGTTTCCTCATTTGAAAAAAAAAGATTTCTTTAATCCCCGCACCCACCCACCTAAGTGCAGCAAGAGCATGATTTCTTTTTACTGAAAAGAAGACTTTTTCTTGATTTGTGGGTTATATTAAAAGAAGCGTGTGCCTTGGTAGCATTTTACTGAGAAGAAGACTTTTGTTGATGTGTGGGTTAGTATGATTATTACTATTAAGTATGAGTTTAATTACAGGTGTGTGCCTTGGTAACATCTACTAAGAAGAAGGCTTTTGTTGATTTGTGGGTTACATTAGATTATTACTATATGTCTGCCGTTGAAAAACTGCTTTCTACCTCTATTAAGTGCGACTTATTCAATCTGGGATCAAAGCCCAGCGGCTGCTATTGTTGATTGAGTATAGTTTCATTTTTGTCAGAATAATTGCGTCTCCGTGAAAGAGGCACAAGTTTTTCCAGCCGTATCTATGATTTATTACATTTTGCCCAATCATTTCATTCATTTTTGGTTATTTTTGCAGAGATTTCCCTATAGGAAAAGGGAGGGCTTTGCAGTTCATTTATAGCAGCAAGCAGTTCAAGACAAAGGGGGGTTTGGCAGCAGGTACAGCTACTACTAACGTTTACCGTAATGCACAGTTCAGCAAAACAATGAGAGCGATGAACACTCCATGTTGCAGCCCCGATGAAGTGATATTTGGCCCTGATTTTCATCAGTCTTTATACTGTCACCTTCTATGTGGCCTCATTTTTCGTAATGAAGTTCATGTTGTGTCGTCCACTTTTGCACACAGTATTGTTCATGCGTTCCGCACATTTGAACAAGTGTGGGAAGACCTGTGCATGGATATCAGGGAGGGGTTTCTGTCAAGCCGAATAACAGTTCCCTCCATTCGTACTGCGATGTCAAAACTGCTCAAACCTGATCCCGAGTCTGCTGATAAAATTTACTACAAATGCAAAGGATTGAGTAATTGGTATGGACTAATTAAGGAGCTTTTTCCTTCTACAAGGTACATCTATGGAATCATGACAGGATCAATGGAACCTTACCTCAAGAAGTTGAGGCATTATGCAGGGGATTTGCCTCTGCTAAGTGCAGATTATGGGTCGTCTGAAGGATGGATTGGTGCAAATGTCAACCCCAAGTCACCTCCCGAGTTGGCCACCTTTGCTGTGCTCCCTAACATTGGGTATTTTGAATTTATCCCTATGAGGAACAACNGCTTTAAAACATTTGGTCCTCACCATTCCTTTCCTTCCCCTTCCCTCAAGGCTCAAACATACCCTGAGATCCGTTTCGTTTAAAGGGTATGTTGAATTTTGGGTCAAAAGTACATTAAAGAAGAACGTGTAACCCGTATATATGCAGGCTTGTACCGTTATCGTCTGGGGGATGTTGTGAAAGTGAAGGGCTTCCATAACTCCACACCAGAGCTTCAATTCATATGTAGGAGAAACCTTCTGTTGAGCATCAACATAGACAAGAACACCGAGAAGGATCTCCAGTTATCAGTGGAATCAGCAGCAAAGATCTTAGCTGATTCGAAGCTGGAAGTGCTCGACTTCACAAGCCATGTCAGTGCATCTGCTGACCCGGGGCATTATGTCATCTTCTGGGAAGTTTCCGGGGAAGCAAGCGACGAGGTTCTGCAGGATTGCTGCAACTGCTTGGACCTCTCATTCCTCGATGCTGGCTACATCAGCTCCAGGAAGGTGAACTCCATTGGCCCACTGGAGCTTCGGCTGTTGCGCAAGGGCACGTTCTACAAGATATTGGACCATTATGTAGGGCTAGGAGCTGCTGTAAGTCAGTTCAAGACTCCTAGGTGTGTTGGGTCAAATAATAGAGAAGTTCTCAGGATACTATGCAATAATGTTGTTAAAACCTACTTCAGTACTGCATATAGCTGCTAATAAGGCCTGTCATTGTTTTCATGCCTCTTTAGTTTCTTCATATGATAGTACTTTTTAAGGGTATTTTCTCTCATAAGGAAGGGCTAAATTTGTCTTTCTTCATCGTTGCTTTGGCTGGCTCACATCTTCTTTTCAGATTACTATCTCGTGTATTTTGGCAATGGCCATGACTCATGAGAGCACTAGAAATACTCGTGAAGCTTCGAGACTTCAAACCTTCTTTCTCTGCCAAATCAGCATCAACCCTCTTTTAACTTATATCACAATTTCACTGTAAATGAGTTTGAAGTCTCGATACTTTAAACCTTTATTTTTTTACATTTTGAATACACATCTTGTAAAATTAAATTATTAAGATTTCATTAATTAATTGAATTTGAATGATACTAATTCATTAAATAAAAAAATACATTCAATAAAAAATAACATAAATAAAATAAGATTTGAATAATAAGAACATAAATAAAAAAATTAAAAACTACATTACGAATAAATTACTGATTATTTAAGTGACATAAAATGCGTTCAATCAAATCTGTCGTTAGTGCATTGTGAATTGTTTGGCTTTGAGTTTCTTGGTAGTTTCTTCGTTTCTTCTCTTCATCAATTTTGTCGTATGTAAAGCACCTCCTTATCGGGGTTGTCATGACATTGTAAATCCATTGTCCTCTATGATAAGAATATTACATGCGTATATGATATTTCTCATTTTCGTTGAGAATAACACTTGAATAGACGATCTAGAATGTGTCACTTACCTTTGAACACCCCGAAGGCTCGTTCGATACCTTTTCTCACTGCTTCATGAGCTTTTTTGTGGGTCTGGTGTGTAAGACTAATTGGTTCGGAAAGAGATTTCCCAATTTTGGAATAATCTGAATATATTCCATTGGCAAGATAATATCCACGCTTGTAAAGCGCCCCTCTCAAAAGACGAGTAGGGTGTAGTCTCATTAATCCAATCGTCGAAAACGGGCGATTGATCAAGAAAATTGATGTCGTTGTTCGAGCCCGCAACACCAAAAAAAGCATGCCAAAACCACAAGTTATTTGAAGCTACAACTTCGAGCATAATAGTATACGAGAATTGATCATGCCATGGAGTGGGACAATTTTTCAATTTCCAATGCGTGCAAATGATAATCCCAAGCATGTTGACAAAGTCGTGTCTAGCGGCATGCCTCGCCTTTTACCTTTGTATTCATTCACCAAATCTTGTTTGGTTCAAGCCAAGCTCGATTTTGTCTGAATCTTTGTAACTGCTCAATGTCGCTCGTTGTCGGCTTACATAAATACCTTTAATGATAAAGTCGAATAATAGTTTTAGGAAATTTATAAATACATGACCTGATGCTCCGAGCCAACACCTTTTAGTATTCGTCAAACATATCACTAGTCATCTTTTATGCCATCTAACGAAGCGTGGCGATGCGCTTCTGGACGCTGCTAAAACTGCACCGGCCTCTCGCATAAAAAGATTGGGTGAATCAAGGCACCTCGCGTTCAATATAGACAAGTATGTGTAAAAATAAAGAACGACTCATCTGAAAATGAATACTAAAATCTTTCAGTGTGTAAACACACAGAATATTGAAGTAGTCATTGAGAAGTGATTTGTGTGCAGTCGCCCAATCACATTTTAAACGCTCACGTCAGGTCGAGCATTAGGACAATTTTGCTTCCTCTTGTTGGCCTTGTTGCCACCATTGGTAACAATCTGTCGCAAGACAATGGAAAATGAGAGCTCTTTTGTCATCAGATGAAAATGATTAGGGGTATGCATCGGTCCAACACCGGGCTAGAACCAGAATCGTCTATTTGCAAGGACCAAAGACCAAACATGTTTGATACTGGTCCAGACTTGAATTTTCTGGCCCGGTTCAAGTTTACCCTATTATGAACTTGATTTTAAACATAAAGGACCTAATATTATTGCCAAATATTAGTTTTATTGAGTATTTTTATAAAAAAAGAAGCATCAAAGAAAACTAAAAAAACCCAGGAAACAGAACTAAAAAAAGCATCAAACACTCCTAGAAAAAAAGTGAAGAGAACTAGACAGTGGGATGTGGCTTTCATCAAACAAATTACTCCCTCCGTCCCAAATTATTTGCAACGTTTGCTTTTTCAGCAGTCGCAGGAACTTTTTTTTATTTCTACGTTTTAATTGGTTATTTGATAAAATAAAATATTCTTGACACCTCTTATTTCAAAGAAGTTTTCATGTAGTTTTTTGATATGTAATTTTTATTTTTTATTTCTTTACCAATATGTAAATTAAATGAATTGAAAAAACTTGATATTTTGCCTCGGTAATAGAAATGTGACAAATAATTTGGGACGGAGGGAGTACTATAAAAAGAATTTGCAATTTGCATGAAATTTAGTACTTCAAGATACTTAAAGTAAAAACTGAATATAATGCCCCTTTTCGTTCAACTTATTTTTTCTGCTTCTTTTAAAATTAGATAAGACCAAATCATATTAAATCAGATCTAATCAAATTAGATCCAATCAAGAATTATTATTATTATATACTCCCTCCGTCCTAAAATTAACTTCCCATTTGATTTTTCACGGTCTCCAATGCAACACTTTGACCATTAATATCTCCATTTTTATATGAATATATATTACAAAAATAACATATTTCAAAACTATGTTTCAAAATTAATCTATTGATAATAAACTTATATGAAAAATCAATATATTTTTTCCGTAATATACAGTCAAAGTTTAAAAAATTTAACTGCAAAAGTCAAAATGAGAAATTAATTTTAGGACGGAGGGATTATATATTTTGGATTGGGGATTACTTGGATCCGGCCGGTGACGCCACGCTAAAACCTAAAATGCGCCCACATAAATGCACGCTTGCAACATCACTCTATTCTCTGCTGCATTTCGTCGGCCTCCATCCGCACTGGTCTCCTCAGCCGCCGCCGCCGCCAATCAACCCTTAGCCGCCGCCGCCGGTTGCGATATACTGATCGGAAATGCAAGCGATTAGATAAACCGAAAGCAGTCGATCGTCATTATATAGTAGAGCAGATCCCAATTGCATCTTTCGTTGTTATCTAGATTAAACCGTTAATGGCTTCCGAGGACGTGAAGGCTAGTGAATCGGCGGTGGAGAAGATCGTGAACCTCGCTGAAGAGGCGAAACTCGCCAGGGAAGAAATTAAGCCGACGAGCCATACCGTCCTGAGCGTCTGCAAATCTCTCGTGGCTGGAGGCGTCGCGGGTGGAGTGTGAGTTCATCTACGCATTTTTCTAGCTGTTTCCGTACATTTGTTTGTATTTATTGTGTCGAACTGAAAGATGGAGTCTCCCGAGGGATGGAAAAAGCATAAAGAAACATTAAAGCACGTACTTTT